TTTCTGGTGGCAATATAAAGTGGAAGAAGAACTCTCCCTTTATGAGCTGGCACCAGAGTTGAGGAAATCTGAAGCACAAACTCCCCAAGTGGGTCACTGGGAGTGAAGTCATGTTGGGCCATTTTTGTTTCCACCCCTCGATTTCTGGACCCAGGTATTCTACATGTTGAGGATACAGAAAATTATGATTAACATTGATTTACAGTATATACTAAATGAAATTCAAATCTGTTGACATCAAGTCAATTCCAACTCCTAGTGACCCTACAGGACAGAGTAGAACTGTCCCATAGGGTTTCCAAGGTTATAATCTTTACAACCCCCACGCGTCTGTCAGTTTGTTGTACTGTGGGAGCTTGCATGTTGCTGTGATGCTGGAAGCTATGCCACTGGTATTTAAATACCAGCAGGGTCACCCATGGTGACAGCTTTCAGCTGATCAACAGATAAAACATTGAATTTGTCAAGGATTTCATTTTCCTTGGATCCACAATCAACACCCATGAAAGCAGCAGTCACGAGATCAAACTATGCATTTTATCCGGCAAATCTACTGTAAAATGTCTCTTGAAAGTGTTGAAAAGCAATGATGTCACCCTGAAGAATGTAGAATATACCATGGACTGCCAAAAGAATGAACAAATCTGTCTTGGAAGAAGTATGACCAGAATGCTCTTTAGAAGCAAGGATGGTGAGACTTCGTCTCACATACTTTGGACATGTTATCAGGAGAGATCAGTCCCTGGAGATGGACATCATGCTTGGTAAAGTTGAGGGTCAGTGAAAAAGAGGAAGACCTCAACAAGATGGATTGACACAGTGACTGCAACAATGGGCTCAAGCATAACAACAATTATGAGCATGGCGCAGGACTGGGCAGTATTTCATTCTGTAGTACGTAGGGTCGTTATGAGTCAGAACTGACTCGACAGCACCTAAACAACAACAATAACGACAATCTTTACAGAAGAAGACTGCCACATTTTTCTCTGGCAGAATGGTTTGGTGGGTTCGAATCATCAATCTTTTGGTTAGCAGCTGAGCTCTTAAACACTGCACCACCAGGGCTCCTCCGGTGTATACAACATCCTGAAAATTATGTAGCCATAACTGCGTATGTATTCAAATGTTGCACTACATATGATGATTCCTTTTAAAATTAATCATCTTCCCATATCTTCCACTATTTTTTTTTTTAATTCTCCCATACTCCATATTCACTTTAGGCTATGCTTTATCTCTCTCCTTCCCTTTCCTGACAAATTTTTGCACAATAGATCTATACCTGCCACCTACATTTCCTCAATACTCAATCACTCTTCAATTACTCTACCTGAATTATTTCTGACCCTGCCCCTTTATTTAGAGAGCCGGGAAATAAATGGAGCCCTCTCTAAGATCAACAAAGTCTTCCATGTCACTAAGTGTATGTCAAGGGATATTTTTCAGTCCTTGTCTTATTAATTCTTTAACAGCATTAAAACTATTGACCAGTTTGCTTTTCTTCAGACAAGACCTTTTTGCTTCCATAACTCTGAGGACACCAAGTGTCCCATAAATCTCCAAATATTCTTTAAGGCAAACATTTCCCAGGGTGGGATTTCACACTAAGAGAGATGGTTCCTAGGTTTGGTTCCTTATAGAAGTTAAACTTTCCTTAGGGGACAGTTTGTTACTTTAAAATGAAACAAGACAGAAGAATTTCTCCTTGGAGAAAATAAATTCATCTCACAACTACCCCCCCCCCCGCATAGCTGCCTACAAGGAGAAAAATTGGTAGAAAAATTTTAATTTTATCTTCTTTGAGATTGGCTGCTAACCAAAAGGTCGGCAGTTCAAATCCACCAGCTGCTCCTTGGAAACCCCGTGGGGCAGTACTACTCTGTACTATAATGCGCTGTGAGTCGGAATTGACTTGAAGGCAATGGGTTTAGATTTTTTTTTTTTTTGTACCCATGGGAGGTGAATTGTTTAGAGAGTGGAAGGACAATAGAACGATTTATTTAATGAAGAGCTCTGAAATTCAACCCAGGAGACTCTGGAAACTTTAAATATGTCCTCATTGCCCCTCACCCTGAAAATATTTGATCCCAGCCTTGGTGAAAACCAAGTTGGGCTTCCCAGAGAGAGACCATGGAGAAGAGAAACTGCTTCAGTGATACAATCAGAAGGAGATAGTGTGTCCCCTTCAGGGCTGGTGGAGTAAGAAGGAAAAGAGAAAAAAAAGTGTATACTGGGCCTCACCTCTCTGGTAAGGATACTGAAACCTCCCATATTTGCTTAGGAAGGTGAACTCCCTCTACTTTGAACACGCTGTAGTTTCCACTGTAGCCAGTCTTCTACAGCTCTCATTCTGTTTCTTCTTTGTCTTTCTGGAATCTAGAGCCTCTCTCCAAGAAGAGAGTTGGAAATGGCCATTTCTTGAATGCATAGTTTTCCGGAGAAACTCTGACTCAACCAGTCATGACACGTTATCTTATCTCTCTCACCAAACATGACTTCTCCACTCTCTTTGATAAATTATACATTGCTGTTAGATTTTCTGCATTCAGTAATTCATCCATTACCTACTCAAAGAAAGTCTATTATAAGAAAGGTATTGTCTATTTTGTTCCTAATGTGCTTGGATTTTTATATATATTCCCTATTTTTCCTCCAAAGGAAAAGTTACTGGTTTCTAAATATTTCTTTAATAGCCTGCCAACTTACTAATAGCACTTAAAAGTTCTATTTTTATGCTATTTCTCCTTAGTGTCCACAATATCATCTACTAATAGTATAATTATTTCTGAGGTTTTAGTACTTCGACTCAAATCCTTTTCTCATCTTAAATGATCAGAAGAATGACTAAAGTGGGATTAGATTGCCTTGGCTTATTCATGAATTTAGCACAAATATTTTAGTGTTTTAATGTAGAGTATCCTATTGGTTGTGTATTTCAAACAGCTATTCTATGTTGGGTTAAGGCAATGGTGGGCAAACAAAGTCAGAACCACTGACACACAAGTAAACATAAAATCACCCATGTAAGAAGCACATGAAGGTGTAGTACAGGATGCTCTATTTGTGGGCCTCGAAAGCTCTGTCCTTCCTAGCCTTCATCTTCTGCTCTCCATCTCACTGGACTCTCAAATCTCCTCCTTTACCAAGCTCACTGGCCTACATTAACTATTCTTCCTCCGTCTGCTCAAATAATGCTATTTCAAAGAAGACTTTCCTACTCATCTGCTCAGACTAAATTATACATCCACAATGATTTTTTTCTCTTTTTAATTAATTTTCATTCTTTATGCATGAATAATACTTTTTCTTTTATAAAAAGTGTGAAAATTTGTTTTCAAAACTTAAGTTTGACTTTTAATTTTCTTTGATATAATTTGCTCTATAGAAGTTTTTAATATTTTAATCTAATCTATCCAAACCAAAAAACCCAAACCCATTGCTGTCAAGTCAATTCTGACTCAGAGCAATCCTATAGGACAGAGTAGAACAGCCCCATAGAGTTTCCAGGGAGTGCCTGCTGGACTCAAACTGCCGACCTTTTGGTTAGCAGCCATAGCACTTAACCACTATGTCACCAGGGTTTCCAATCTATCCCATTATATGCTTTGTAATTAACTCCACTGATTTTAATACTACATAACCTCATCAAGAGCATGTACACATGAGCACACACATCACTTGTATTTGATTTTAATGGTTGTATGCTTTTATTTCCTCCTCTTATCTACAGAGTCCACATGGCCTTTCCTCTTTTTTGGAAGAATCCAACTGGCATGAGGTTTCTGAAATAAGGGACCATACAAATCTTCACTAATTGGAAGAGCTGGATGGAGAGCAAAAGAGGTAACAGCCATGTTGTGTTTATAATGATCAGAATTCCATCCTCCCTTGATGTCTGCCCTAGTTTAAAGGGGGTATTGATAAATGATAGACGTACAAGACAGATTTATTGTGATGCTAAAAATACAAGTTCACAATTATCAAGTGTCTACTCTATATCACAGGCACCACACTAGAAAAATAGTATGCATCATCTGATTTAATTTACTCATTAATCTCATTATGTAGGGAATATTTACTACTCTCATTGGGGAAGTGAGGTATCTGCAGCTAAGAGAGATTAAGTAACTTTCTCAAGGTCACATAGGTAGTAAGTTGGTAGAGCCAAAATCCTATCCTAGGCAGTATGATTCAAAGATAAATTTTTGAAATTACAGCTTTATATTGTAGCTGGGGAGAATTATATATCCAAAATAACTGTCATAAAATGAACACATAAATAATGATAATAGCCATTATTAATTGGGAGCCCTGATAGCACAGTGGTTAAGTGCTTGGATGCTAACCAAAAGGTAGATAGTTCGAGCCCACCAGCAACTCCACAGGAGAAAGATGTGGCAGTCTTTTTCCATAAAGATAACAGCCTTGGAAACATTATGGGGCAGTTCTACTTTGTCCTGTGGCTTGTTTTATGTTGGAATCAACTCATCAGCAATTTTTTTTTTTTAATTGAGATCCTCCTGTTCACCAAAGCATTTCTAAACCTAGCAAAGAATGTAATAGTAATAACCAGATTTTTAAAAAAGAAAAAATAAGGCACCAAGGGCTAACTGTGACAGGTCACGTTTAAGACTTGGATTTTCAACTCAGATGACCTTTAATCACTAACACAGAGCTACCAGAATGAAGGAGGTATGGGAATTATCAGGGAAGAGAACATACTTGGTAGTTTATGTAACATGCTTCTGATTAGCTTGGAAGGGTCATATCAAAGAAGAAATTGGCTTACGTGTATAGATTCAAATAGGAGAATTAGAACCAGTCAATAGAAGCTAAAAATATTTCAGCTAAAGTGTCTGAAGAATTACACACATTTAAAATGGAAAAAGGCTACCTGTGACTGAGAGAGTCACTGTCATTGGAAGGACTCAATAACAAAATACAAGTGGTATTGTAAAGGTGATGACTAGCTGAGATGCCAGTTGGCAGTTCATTGAATGTTGCTTTTACCTTCTTCAGCCTACACACTGGCTACATGGAAGCAGAAAATCAAACAAAAGCTTCAGAATTCCTTCTGCTGGGCCTCTCAGAGGATCCTGAACTTCAGCCTCTCTTCTTTGGACTCTTCCTGTCCATGTACCTGGTCACTGTGCTTGGGAATCTGTTCATCATTCTGGCTGTCAGCTCTGACCCCCATCTCCACACCCCCATGTACTTCTTCCTCTCCAACCTGTCCTTTGTTGACATCTGTTTCATCACAACCACAGTCCCAAAGATGCTGGTGAACATCCAGACACAGAGCAAAGACATTTCTTACATAGGATGCCTCACTCAGGTTTATTTTTTCATGATTTTTGCTGGACTGGACAATTTTCTTCTGTCCTTGATGGCTTATGACCGGTTTGTGGCCATCTGTCACCCCCTGCACTACACAGTCATCATGAACCCCCGGCTCTGTGGCTTGTTGGTTCTGATGTCTTGGGTCATCATTTTCTGGGTATCTCTGCTTCTTATTCTATTGCTCATGCAGCTGAACTTTTGTATAGGCACTGAAATACCACATTTCTTCTGTGAACTGACTCAGATTATCAAAGTAGCCTGTTCTGATACCCTCATCAATAACATCTTCTTGTATGTGTTGACTGCCCTGCTGGGTGTGTTTCCCCTCACTGGGATCCTCTTCTCCTACTCTCAGATTGTCTTCTCCTTAATGAGGATGTCCTCTGCTGGAGGCAAGTATAAGGCTTTTTCCACCTGTGGGTCTCACCTCTCGGTAGTCTCCTTGTTTTATGGGACAGGTCTTGGGGTCTTCCTCAGTTCTGCTGTGACCTATTCCTCCCAGAGAATCTCTATTGCTTCAGTTATGTACACGGTGGTCACACCCATGCTTAACCCCTTCATCTACAGCCTAAGGAATAAGGATGTGAAGGGAGCCCTAGGAAGGCTCCTCTATAGAGCAGCCTCTTGTCCATGATGATGGTCACTGGCCTCAGGGCTAAATGGGCCTCATGGTCCTCAAAGCCAAATGTCATGAATTTAAATATCCTGAATCTTTTTTCTTCCTCAAAAGACAGACATCATTTCTTCCAATCCCAAAGCACCTATGACTTTGCTTTCTACTTGTTATTGTACTATTTTTCCTCAGTAATTCTTTTTGACTCTTCTTTCCTATATGCTGTCCATAGAGCTCTTTCTTTGGTCAACTTGCTTAGAGGCATTCCTGAAAATTCCAGCCTTAGATTTGCCCCATTTATCATTTGTAAGTGCTGACATGGTTTTCCCAAAGGTTAATCTCTCAAAGATTGATGCTTTTCACCTCAATTTGGTTATGTGTATGTTTTTCCCTGAAAGAAATAAAATTAAAGCCATACAACAGTCATAACTAAGTGCTTGCCACATCTGGACTGTGCTTATTGCTTTACACATATAATTTCATTTCACCATGACAACATTTCTTTGAGATATAGTCTCATTCATCCCATTTTTCAGAGGAAGAGACTGAGATTGGGATGGATTCACACCTGGCAACCTATCATTGAGTTAATATGCCTAACTTTGCTATCCTTCTTTTCATAAGAACAATGATATGGTTTTCAACTTCAAGGGTGGAAATCTAGATTTGAAAGATGTTTTTTTCAGATGATTTATAGTAATATACCGCCTTGGATAATCTGAGATGTTGATTCATTCTTTGTGATCCTTCCTTGCTTCTTTTGTTCCTTTCTTCTTTCTTTCTTCTTCTTTACTTTTTCCCTTTCCTTATTTCATTTTACCTTTCTTGTCTCATCATTGCAGTTTCAAGATATATTCCCCAAGATCCTAAAACATGTAGTAATGAATACAATGGAATAAGAGTTGTTCCCTCACATGGTTTAATTTTCTGGGACTCCCTGGAGGTGTCATCAGGAATGGTAGTTACACACTTGTGGACTACATTTACAACTTCATTTTTGAAAAGAATATTGGTAGAATTGAGTCTGCCCAGTGAACAGTGGAGTTGTAGATGCTGTCAATGCTCCTCCCACATTCCCTGGGATCCTCTCATCATCTCTATTGCACACTAGTCTGACTGCCAATGGACAGCACCAGCTGGAAACTACTTTGCTAAATGCATGGTGGCAAAAGTGAGCTGGAATTATGTATCTCCAGGGGCAGCCTTCATTGAGAGTTGTGGGACATGCCAGCTTACCTGGGAGTAATTCTGAGATGTGGGTTTTGCACATTTTCCAAAATTTCCCCGCAGGATGAAAACTCTGCTCACTCACCATGGTAGATGACTTAATGCAAGCTTTATTGGATGTATTTTCTTCCCTGCGTCACTTCTCCTCTCTCCCATCCATATTCCTTGCTCCTTCAAGTAAATTACTTGCACTTGAATCCTTGTCTCAGTGTCTGCTTCTGTGGGAACCAAAACTAAGACAGTTGATAAAGACTATGAGGGATATTAAGGGAATCATGAAAGAAACTAGGGACTTTGGAGCCAAAACGAAACTAAAAAAGAAGACACAATTTACTGAAAGATCTTAATTTGTTAATGAGAAAAGACTTGTTCGATATGGCTTCAAATTACTTTGATTCCATTAAGTTTAGTCAAATATGTATTTATTATCTACTATGTACCTAGTGAGCAGGACACCAGAGAGGTATAAAAAAAATTTCAATTCAGAGTAGTAAACATAATCATATTGACGTGTACTAAAAACTGTTGTAAACAAAAGTAAATTTTTTCAACTCATCTTGAATAATTCCATGGAAAACTTTTTGAAAATGTATTTTTAACAGCTTTATTGAGGTATTATTTATATACCATGAAACAGACCCATTGTTTTAATCAAATGGTTTTAGTAAATTTATTTAGTTGTACAATTGTTACCCAAATCGAGTTTTAGAGAGTCATGTACTACAAAGACAGAGTCCATTTGGTCATAAGAATCTTAAATTTTGTTGACATAGGAGTCAGGCAGTGCTCCAGGTCCTGTCAAAAAGCTTCCATGTTTTATAAAGCTCTATTTTCTGTTGTTTTCCTAGTCTCCTCCAGTAACGACCTCCTCTCCGTAACTGTATAGGAAACAGGTAGATAAGGAGAGGGCCCTGCTGCTCTCTCTTATATTGAATGATTTATTAAAACAACCCCAGGAGTTCTGGATTTATCCTGTAAGACTTGTTGCCTAAAATGTACTTATCATTGGGACTGCTTCCTAATAGTATGGAAAAAATTAGTGTATTTGTAAACATTTAATAAGAGTAGGGAGAATATCTGTTCTATTTGTTTTATTTTCAGTCTCTTTAAATCTTAGGCTTCCAGGAGATTTATTGATACACTCTTTTTATAGAAGGAATGTTTATTGAGTTTCTACAAGGTTTTAGGTTCTGGGGACAAAATTGTGAAGAAAAAATAGTTCCTGTCCTTATATAGCTTACTTTCCAGTGGAGAAGAAAAATAAGTGAAACAATAAAAACTTTTGAATTCCGGAAAGGGCTATGAAAAAAAAAAGTGAAGAAGCACCAAATAATGGAGAAACATTGTGAGATTTATTTTAGATAATATTTTCAATAACATGATGAAATAATAGAAAATGTGGGATGTATTTGATAATATTTTTAATATTCCTCAACAGTCTAGGCCAAGGTTTCTTAACCTTAGCACTACTGACATCTTAGGCTGGATAATTCATTGTTGTGGGGAACGGTCCTGTGCATAGTAGAACGTTTAGCAGGAACCCTGGCCTCTAACCACTACATGCCAGAACTCTACCCTTCAACTGTCACAACTAGAAATGTGTCCAGGCATTACCAATTGTCCCATAGGGGGCAAAATATCCCAAGTTGGGAACCACTGATCTGAAAGGTGTGGGAGTTAATGGCCTTAAAGTTCCAGAAGACAGGAAAAATAGGAAAAGCAACATTTAAGGGAGGATAAAACATCAGTTTATTATTAGCAAGGGTTGAGTTAGTTAGACTACAGAATATCTCATTGGTGCTATTATTTCAGAGGTGAAGTAAATTGGTTTGGCATTCGTCAGTCTGCACTTGTGGCAGTATAATCAATTAATTGCACAGATACAGGGAGAAATGACTGCTTAGAGGGTCAAGAGTTAGAAAGACAAGATGATGCTTGGCTGAATCCTATTCATGATGCTTCAGTTCTCAATTATAGGTCCCCCACCAGACATTTGCTCTCATTACGCACTGTACTCATTCATCACAACATTAACCACCATTGTAATTAAATAATTTTGGATACAATTAATTTATTGATGAATATCTCTTCAAAATATCCACCTGTGCTTTGTATCCCATCTAGTCCTGATGTTTTAGGTACTTTACACTATCACTTATCTCTTCTTTATCCTGTATGTCCCAATGTCTGCACGCAAGATTATAATTTCCAATGTAGTTAAACACATTCCCATATCTTTCAGTGTAAATAAGTCTCACTCATCACCCCACATTCCCCTTTGGGTATTTCTCCAAACCTTCAAATATTTGGTCTGCACTTGCATTTTCTGTTCCACACTGCTTAGTCTCTCTTCAAACAACCTGATCTGGAGTCTTTCTACCTCCGTAACAGTCACTCTCCCTGAGGTCTGCAATGGCCTCATGTCCTCAATAAGTTCTAAGGGGCATTTTCAGTATTCACACTGCTTGATTTTTCAGTAGCAAAGTTACCAATGACTGCATTCTCTTTCTTGAAATAGGGACCTTACTCAGCTTCCATGACCTGCCAAAGATTGCTTAACCAAAATGCATTTCATTTTTGTCACAATGGGATTTTGAGGGACATGGCTATTAACAGTTTTTGCAGCATTAACACATCCCTTAGGGAGAAACTCCTAACTTTGAAATTAAACCTTGCTAAATAGATGCAAGAGTTACAGCACTACCTTAAGGAGCATGTAGGGTCCTAGGAGACTTTCTTAAAGGAAGATGAGGGAACTTGTTAATCTTGTTAACTGCAAGTGTTTGAACACACTAGATAAAGAAGAAATAATTAGAAGAAAGAAATTCACCTGTCTCCACAGCTACGTTCAGGGAGACAGAATTGGTAGAAAGTTTCCTTTCTATTATTCTCCCTTTATCCCAGGAGAGCTGAATTGTTTAGAGTGGAATGACAATATAAAAATTTGTTTATTAAGATGCTGTAAGAATTGAGCTCCTGGGGCCCTGGAAACTTTGGCTCCCAGGGCCTCTAAAGCAAACCATCTTGGGCCTCCAGAGATGTAAGTTAGGTACTGTCTGCTTGGCGTATCTCTGTACTTTCTGGGGAAATCATTGTAGCAGAAAGAGCAAAGGCACCCAAGGGCTTCCATGGTGCTATATGAAAGCCAGTGTATCCTAGTGAGGACACAGACAAGAACAGTGGTTCTGAAAGTGTGATCCCTGGACCAGCAGTGTCAGCACCACCTGGGAGCTTATTAGAAATGTAAATCTTTGGTCTGCATTCCAGATCTACTGAGTCTGAATCTTCAGGGATGGGTCCTAGCCATTTGTGTTTTAGTAAGCCCCCAAGTGAATCTCATCAAGCACAGCTAAACTTTGGGAACAACCACCCTAGGGGATTAGCTGTAATGTATCAATGAAGGACTCACACAGGGCTGCATCTTCAGAGATTTGAGGGCTTTCCACATCCCAAAGCTTATCTACAAATAATGACACATTTGTTTTTGACATTACAATACTTATGCACCTTTTCTCTGTCGCTATATTGCATTTGTTTGAATTAGCAGAATAATATTAAATACTTATCATTTCTAGCATTAGTCCTTCGAATATTCATTAATTGTCATTTCTTAATGCTTCCTTGTTGAATGCTATCTATCACTTAAAAATCAACATCCTTTATCATTTTCAAAGATATGTGCTTATTTTTCTAGTTTGAGAGCCTGAGTCCCCCTCCCTTCCCTAACACACACCACCATTTGCAGTGATGCTTATTAAAAATGATTAAATATATTTTGATTTCTATTGAACGTGACATCTGTCCTCATGAACAACATTCCAATTTGATACTTAAATAAAATTTATTGAAGGAATGAACCACAGGACGGTATATATTCTGTTTGTCTGTAGTGGTGTGCTCTGCCTTCCAGGCAAAACGAAGAGATATTAAACAAGTAGAGTGAGTACAGATAACAATTTTACATCACAGCAATGGCAGGAAAGGAGGTGAGATTTACCAGG